CTCGCCCGTCGGGTGCGTGCGGTTCCCGCTGCTCGGGCAGCTCCCTGCCTGCCTGGTTTGGGGTCGGGGGTAAAAGCGTGCAGCGCTGCAGGTCATGGCACGCCGGCGCGTGGGAGCTCGGTGCTCCCCGAGGGGGAAGGCTGGGCTCGGGGGTCCCCGCCGGCCCCAGGGGAGTTACGCCGGCTCTGCCGCAGCCGTTTTCTGTTTGCCACGAGACTGATTGTGTCCTTGTGTCAACCTCTGTCCCGCAGGATGGACAGAATGACGGAAGATGCTCTGCGCCTGAACCTCTTGAAGCGGAGCTTGGACCAAGCAGACGATCGGGACGATGTCCTGGCAAAGAGACTGAAAATGGAAGGACATGAGGCGATGGAGCGCCTGAAGATGCTGGCACTGCTGAAGAGGAAAGACCTCTCGGGCATCGAGGTGCCCCACGAGCTCCCGGTGAAACAGGATGGTGTGAAAGTCTACGAAGAAAAGCTGAACGGGAGCCTTAGGCCCCATGGGGATGGCAGGACTGCAGGGAGGCCGGGGAAGGAAAACATTAACGATGAGCCCGTGGATATGAGCGCGAGGAGAAGGTAGGTGCCAAACGAGTCTGTAGCTTGCCTGTTGTTAATCTTGTGCTCTGCCAGATGTGAGAACCCAAGGCAGAAATTCAATCGACGTTTCGTGGGCCTGGAGGAGTCTTCCCAGTGTGGCTGAACACCGCGGAGCAGAGCCTGCTCTCCCGGTGGAGGTTCCCTGGAAGGCGTTCAGCACTGTGCCTTCCTTGGTTTTGCTTCTGCTGCCCTTCTTATCCCGCCCCAAAACCAGATGGATTTTGTTTCCTCCTCCATCCCTACGTTCAGTATCATAAGCTACTACCGTCGGGTGGCTGGCGGAGCAACCCTGCCGGTGTGCGTGGAGGAGGAGGAGGAGGGCGTCCATCCCCTCCGGCCAGGAATTTGTATTGGCACCGGCAGAAGTGGCAGCAGGGATCCCTGCTTTGTCTGGAGGCTGGAGCTGGTGCACGGGGCCCGCACGGTCGCTCTCCGACCTGAGCCTGGCCAGGCTCCTGCCTCTCCGAGGGAGAAGTAGATGGGTTTTTCTGCCGAGCCTGGGACTGCTCGTGAGAAGCAGTTACCTGAGCGATGGAGAGCTGGTGAGTGGTGTCTGTGTTCCAGGAGAAGCTTGGGCGTTCCTCACGCTCTCTGTAGGTGCAGTGCACACATACCTGACTTTGATCATCGGTGAACTCCAGCAACTCAATTTCCGCAGCCGGGTTCTGCGCGGGGGAGCTGGCGTGAGAGGGTCACGCGTGAGAGCCTGTCCCGTCTGCTGCGCAGCGCCGGTGCGTCCCGCCTCGGTGCTGAGTTCAGCTCTCTTGGGAATCAGATGTTAACGATCCTGATTTTTGCCTTGATTTGGATACTGAGCCGGCAGCGGCTTGGTGAGCAGGCCGAGAGGCAGAGCGGAGGAGCCTGGTTGAAGTAGGTGTGAAGTGCTGAGACCTTCCTGTGATGTTTTGGTGGACAAAAAGCTGGCCATGACCCGGCGCTG